AGGTTCTAGGAATATGAATTCCATTGAGATATTGGGAATGTTTGTGCACATGCTAGGACATGGTGTGGGGAATAGGTTAGCACAAGAAAGATTTCAACACTCTGGTGAGACAGTGAGTAGATATTTTAGTTACATGTTGGATGTTGTATATCGTATGGCAATGGATGTCATCAAACCGATGGATTATGAATTTAGTGATATTCCACAAGCAATATGAGAGATTCTAGATATATTCCTCATTTTAAGGTAAAAATTGCATCTATCACTTCTCTCTACTTTTTATTGCTAATTATAGTTATATGCATTAAAAAATTTGTCAAACTATCATTTTTAGGATTGTATTGGTGTTATAGATGGAGTACATGTTCAAGCTTCAATACGACCTCAAGATCAAGTATCTTATATTGGTAGGAAAGGGATGCCAACTCAAAACATTATGGCCGTATGTAACTTTGACATGCAATTTATATTTGAATGTGCCAGGTGGGAAGACACAGCACATGATACAAGAGTGTTTCTTTCGGTTATACGCAATGAAAATTTAAATTTCCCTAAGCCTCCAAGTGGTAAAACTTTTTCAATTAACCTTTGTGTTTTTCATTACTTACTTAGTCCAATTATATATACATATTAAGAAAAATGAATGTTGTATTTCACAGGGAAATATTATTTAGTAGATGCAGGGTACCCACAAATGAGAGGTTCTTTGAGACCATATAAAGGCAAAAGGTATCATCTCCCGGATTTTCGCAGGGGAAGCCAACCAACGGGTTATAAAGAGGTATTCAATCATGTTCACTCTTCTCTTAGGAGCGTTATTGAAAGAACCTTTGGAGTATGGAAGAAAATATGGAAAATTTTAAGAGATATGCCTAATTATCCATTCAACAAACAAGTGAAGATAGTCATTTCTATAATAACACTTCATAATTATATAAGGAGGCATGCCCAATGTGATAGACATTGCCCAACGTAATTATCCATTCAACAAGCAAGTGAAGATAGTCATTGCTACAATGACACTTCATAATTATATAAGGAGGCATGCTCAACGTGATAGACATTTTGATGCTTCAAATGATATCTTAAGTGAAGAGATAGGTGGGGATGTTGATGTACAACAAGAACTTGATCATAGTTTTCATGACAATGGAACACAATAGATGGAAGCATTGAGAAATAGCATCGCTACAAGTTTAATGAATGCATCTAATTAGCTTCTTTTATATTGTAGTGATCTATTTGGACATGTTAAAATTGAACAATTTTGGTATATTTGTTATGCTAACCCTCTCCAAAGCCCTCAATATAACAATATTTAGAACTACTTTTGTTACAATAGTAATTTATAATTTATGGTAAAATAGTTTCCGTTATCTATATATATCTATCTATATATATAAAGCAAAAGGCAGAGAATGGTGAAACATTCAAAATACCAGAAAATGCCCTTGGTTAATGCAAACATTAAGAATTGAAATTATTAATTAAATGAGGATAATATAGTAAATTCACATTTTTTCATATTTAAAAAAATTAAAATTAAAAGAAAAATCAGATAATAGATCCTATATTTATGGAAAACAATTATCTATTATCTTTTTAAATTCTAAAATAAATTTAATTTTTTTTTTAATAAAACCTCTCGCAGGCGCCGAAGCGCATGCGGAGAGACTAGTTGTTATTATCAATGTTTTTAATAGAAAACCCGAAGGTCACTTTCGGCATTGCAGTACTCTTTATAATACGAGCTCCCTTTGAGGCTGAAACCCTAAAATTGCTTGTTTTTCACGCCGAGCAAAATGTTCCACTGTTTATTTCTCGGAGTCTTTTTTTTTCCTTCCTTAGAAAACAAATTTAAAAATTGTTGATTCTTTTGGCTGAAAGATGATTATTGATTTTTGATTTACATTATCTTTGGTTCAAGTATGATTCCCGATGATGAACAAATTGAAAAAGCTAAAGAGCGGTAAGCGTGGTTGTTTTCTTCATCAGCCTATACTCACCACCACTGTAACCTCTCTCTCTCTCTCTCTCACTCTCTCACTCTCACTCTCACTCTCTCTCTCATACATACATACAAACATATATATATATGCAGTGCTGTTGAGTATACAGGATGTTGATGAACGCCACTTGCTTCAAACCGTGAATGATTCGTTAAAAGCTATGAGATCTGAGGGCATTTTGATAGATCTCACTCTATACAACTACCCATTTGGGGATTTAGCCTTAAACGTGGTTAAAATTTGCGGAACTAGTTACTTTAACCCTTGCATGTTCATTCCTGCCCCAAATTTCCTTGCTTTCATAGTTATGCTTTTGCTTTGCCACTGATTGTTTATACTGCTCTACTTCTGAGTCGTAAGAACCCATTTACTGCGTGTTGGGCATTTGATGTTAAGTTGGCCCAAGATCTGCTAATGTCCGTGACTATGGTTTGTAAACTACAGTGGCATATTTTTTTAAGTGGATTTTTGTTCATTCATTTTGTCATATG